GACCTGGGGCTGGAGAGATGGCTCAGTGGTTGGGAGCACTGACTGCTCTTCCAGAGGACCTGGGTTCAATTCCCAGCACCCACATGGCAGCTCACGACTGTCTGAAAATCCAGTTGCAGGGGATCTGACACCTTCACACCAATGCACATAAAATAAAAAGTTAAATAAACCTTTAAAAAAAAATAGAATCTAGGACCTCACACGTGCCAGGTAAGCTCTCTATCACTGGCTGTATTTCCTAGCCCTACATGAGCTCTGTAATGGGTATCTTCCTCAGCCACCTGGAGACAGTGTCAGGCTGTTTATAACCAGTGAGAGAAGCCATTCTTGTTGGGGATATACCTGCTCAAAGGCCTTTGTCGATCCTAAGAACCACAGAAGATGTGTGTGATGGCACAACTATAATCCCAGCATGCAGGAGGATTAGAAATTCGAGTTCATCTTTGGCTACATAGGGAGTTCAAGGCCAGCCTGGGTCAACCTTGTGTCACACACAAAAAGAAGGGTACATTCTTGACTCTCTTCCCTCCTTCCCTTCCCCAAGCGTGTGGGCCTTGTGGAAGGTCTCTTGTCCTTATCAGTGTCTTTGGGGGCCACTGATGGTGGTACAGGCTGAGAGTAGCCATGAGGAGCAGCAGGATTAAGATTTTTGGAGCTGCCATAGTCCAAGCAAGCAAGCAATGAGCCAACTGTGGTAGGTGCAGGGATTTACAGAAAATCCTGAGGGATTACAAGCCTGGATGTGGCCTTAGTAGTAGCATGGATGAGGACTTCGTGAGTTTCTGCCGATTGCAAACGCTGTATCCATTCGTGGGAATCGTGGCTGTAAGATGAGCCACCTGGGGCTTGGTTTGCTTTTGTTCATTTGCTTTTGAGACAGGGTCTTTCTGTATCTCAGGAACTCATGATCCTCCTGCCTCAGCTTTCTGAGCACACTCATTTTCTTTTTTCCTCCTGCGTCTGCTCCTCTGTTTCCCTCCTTCCTTCTTCCCTCCCTCCCCCCTTTTGAGACAGTGTCTCACTGAGCCACAAGCCAGCCTCAAACTCTTGCTCCTCCTCAGCTTTCCAAGTGCTGAGGTTCTGGGCATTGCTGCCACACCTAACTTAACTAAACAGGCTTTTTTATCTGTTTAGTTTTTTTTCTCTTATTTCCTTGTGGAAATTATTGGTCAGACTTAGCCCCCCTGGATTGGCCTTCTGATTGTTTTCATAGTTTTATATTTTTGTTCAAGTATATACCACCATTTCTAGCTTTGCATTGAATTAAAAAAATTGTAAAATTTACTTCTTGACTTCTGAGACAGTCTCACTATGTACACTGGACAGGAACTTGGTCTCTCAGAGATCATATTGCCCAAGTGCTGAGTTGAAGATGTGAGCTGCCATGCTCGGCTGCATTGAAGTTGTATTTCACTATCATTTAAATTTGCTAGAGTTCTTTCTGTTCCCTGAATAGTCCTTTAAAAAAATAGCACTGATAGCTCATCAGTTAAGACTGTGTCTGCTCTTGCAGAGGACCTGGTTTCAATTCTCAGCACCCACATGGTGGCTCACAGCTGTCTGTATTTCCAGTCTAGCGTGTCTGACGCTCTTTTCTAGCGTTTGAAGGCACTGCATGCACATGCCATGGATATACACACAGACAAAACATAGACATAAGCAGAAAGAAAATAGCACTATGTTCTTGTTTCTCGGGTGCCCCCCTCAGCTCTAGCTTTCTCCCTCGTTGTCTGTGAGTTTCTGTTTTCTGTTTAGTTGTTTAATCTTGTTCTCTGACCTGGAGGGTTTTCGTCAAATGGCTGCACCTATTTGGCTGTGAAAATCTGGGTGGAAACTTCTCTCCATTGCCAGCACTCAGCTGGGAGCGAATGATTCTGTCGAGGGTCCTCAGAATTTAATACCTCAAAATTTTCTTCCCCGCAACCCCCTAGTAGTCCCAGGGTCACTTGGGTTTTCCAGAAAAGCCCTCCCAGGTCTCTTGCCTGTAGACACAGTGTGAGGGCTCAGTTAGAGCCTTCCAGTGTCTGAGCATTCTGTGGGTGCACTTCTAGCCCGGGGCTCTGTGGCCTCTGTTTGACAGCTCACCTGGCTGTTAATGTCTGGTTGCTGGGTTGGGATGGAAGCTGGGAGTCTTTAACTGCCCTGTACAGGGTGGAACAGCCCTGAATTCAGCTCTGCCTCTTGCCTGTCCTCCAAGGTACTCTGTTCCTCTGTTCCCCAAGCTGCCCCGCTCCTCTCCTCTGGTGGGCTTGTTTTCAGTGGTGTTGTGGGCTCTTGGTATTTGGTCTTCTAATCTCATCTGCTAATGTTTCCTTCCACTTTAACTTTCCGTAGGTGTGTTGACAAGCCTTAATGGCTGTCATTTCCCTCCTCTGTTCTTGAGAGTTTAATTTACTTTACTTGGCTGAAAGTTTATTTTATTATTATTTTATTTGCAGTATTGGCTATCAAACAAAGGGCTCCCACATGCTAGGCAAACCCTGCCATTAAGCTACACTGCTAGCCCTTTTCTATCCTTTGAGACTAGGTTCCCCAGGGGGCTTCTTAGCCTTCTGCCTTGGGCATCCGAAAAGCTGGGCTTATGGGCATGTACTACTGCACCCAGTTTGAATACGAATGTGATTTATTTTTACATTTTTGTTTATTTGTCGTGTGTGTGCATGCACTGCACGTACGTGGCAGCTTGAGGGAGTCAGTTCTCTTTTCCTACATCAGATTCCAGGGACTGAACTCTAGGTGTAGTGGCAAGTGCCTTTACCTGCTGAGCCATCCTGCCAGCCCAGAAAATGTGTATTTTGATCAGAAGTGTAGGCTATTATATATTTATGTTTATCACATTTAGAATTATGAATTTAGAATCTGGCATCTGTATTTTTCCAGTGTTGGAAATTGAACCAGGGCCTCTACTACTGAGCTTATGCCCTAATCCTCTCCCCCTCCTTTTTATTTACTAGATACAGCCTTGTGTATCCTGGGACGGCCTTGAACTCTATATCATTATTGCCCAAAGTGCCCTGAATTTCTGATCTTCTGTCTCCACCTCCTGAGTGGAGGATTATAGATGTGTGCTACCATGCCTGGCTTTATGCCATGTGGGGATCAAACTTAGGACTCGGTGCCAGTTAGACAAGCGCTCCACCAACTGAGCTACATCCCAGCCCTTCGTAGAGTCTCACTACAAGTAGCCCAGGCTGACCTTGAACTCATATTCCTCTTGTCTTTCCCTTTTGAGTGCTGAGATTGCAGGCACGTGTCCCCACAGGCGGCCATTTCTGTTGTTTTATTTAGTACTTTCTACCTATTACGTGTTCTCTTTGCTGGTTTCCCTTTTCTGTCCTTTTCTTCTCCTGGTTGGGAAGTTATGCATCATTGAGTTCGTTGTCATTCTTCTCCTGTGTAACTAATGAAGCCCACACTTGACCTCCTTACCTTGTGTCCTGAAGACCCTTAGCACAGTCTCTCCCTGCCTTGGTGGATCTGGACTGTATCCATGGCTGCTTTCTGTGGAGAGACGGGCAGCCCTGCTTATTTGCCATTGCCTAGAACTGGCAAGCCTGTTCCTGGGTGTCTTAGAGAGGCCTTCGACTCTCAGTGATGATTTGCTTTAAGGGATATCTGAAGATATCCCTGAGGTTTTTTGTGGGGCTAGGGATGATTGGTAGGAGAAATGAGACAGAAGGGACAGGTCAGTAATTCTTGGAACCCCAGACCTGCAGCTACTACTCAGTTTTCCCTCCGAGACGTCAGCTTTTGACTCCAGTTTTGTTCTCTAGAGTTGTACACAGTATGGTGGGTGCCCCCTGCCCTGTGTGATGGGTAGGAGTGGCGACTAGATTGTGTGTAGAGGCAGCCTTGAGCCCCATCTCCAAGTTCTTATCGAGCAGGAATGTGGATCCAGCGGCGTAGGAGCTTTCAGTATTTGTTGGGTTTTTTTTTTGTTGTTGTTGTTGTTGTTTTGTTTTTGTTTTTGTTTTTTGGTTTTTCTAGACAGGGTTTCTCTGTGGTTTTGGAGCCTGTCCTGGAACTAGCTCTTGTAGACTAGGCTGGTCTCGAACTCAGAGATCCACCTGTCTCTGCCTCCCAAGTGCTGGGATTAAAGGCGTGCGCTATCACCACCCGGCTGCTTTCAGTATTTCTATGGCAGGCAGGAAACAGTTTCCTGTGTGAAATCTTCCATTTGTACATTGGGTGAAACTGCTTATAACCCTGTCCAGGTGTCATGGCTGACTCTGGTCAGACACTGTGGCCTTTGCACAAAGCCCGGGTTGTCAGTGATGCTTTCTGTCACCCTGTCCTAGCCGTCTTCCTGGATGAACTCCTTTCCTGACTCTGGTTTCTCCTAAGGTGTGACTTTCCACTCCCTTCCTCACCCAGTGAAACGTCCTCTTCGTTTGTATCAGTGCATTCCCAGTAATTGACAAGGTGAAGACACACCCATTCTCCCCCACAAGAGGGCACAGACTTTATTTTCCCAGAACCTGTCTGTAACCTGAGGCCCTTTCCCACACCAGGCCTTGTTCCTGAAGTAGGTGAGGGGACTGTGCTCTCACTGGATCGTGGATGCTGACATAGCCTGCATACACCAGCTGTCAGTGCCTTGCTTGCAGCAAGCCAGCTGTTGGCATCGGGCTTGGTCTGTGTCTCCTTGGTTGATCTCTCCTGCCTGTGGTAGGCTTGAGTATTCTCCCATCATCTGCCTCCGGCCCCTACTGCCTGAGTGACAGTGGCTGCGGCTTTATATACTCGAGGCAGTTGGTGACTCATATCTCAGCAGCCCCTTAAATAGGGAAGTGAAATGTGTACACCTGGCAGGGCCTGACCTTTGAGTGACAGCGGAAGTAGCTGTGTAAACATGAAGTTCATTGCTAAGGGGAAGTCTTGTTCACCACCAGGCTAAGGAGAGCATCCGCCTGCACTCGCCCTCTTGTGGCCTCTATGCCTGTGACTCTAGTAACTTTTTTTCTTTCTCTTCTCCCTTCCCTCCACTTTCTTGGTGACAGCTGGAAGTCACAGTGGTAACCACTGAGAGAGCCAAACATTTCTATAGCCCCCAGGATGTTCCTGTCACCCTCTACAGTGATGCTGACGAATGGGAGGTCAGTGCTGGGCCCATTGCTTTTCTTCCAGGAGGACAGAGCTATCTTCCTTCCAGCCTATGTCCTGGCTGCTGGAGCACAGTCTGGGCTCAAGTCAGTGGTCAGGGCCATCTGGGTAGAGGCAATGAGGAAAACATCTGTCTGGTTTCTGGCCTGCGGGAGGCCTGTAGTCCCGCCTTCCTCAGGCCGAGCTCAGCTTTGGCCCAGTGCCTGGGGTTGAGTGTCCTTGTACTTATCTGGGCTGATGAAACCACAGAGGAGCTCTGTTCCCACCACCCTTGTCCATGTGGCTCTCAGCGTCAAGGCTATCCAGAGTGTTTCACTTCCCACGGCCGCTGGCCATGCCTCTGCCCTCCTGCAGAGGGGTGGGCACCAGCTGATTTGCCAGGCGCGCAGTGTGGGCCTCATAGGGCTACCCTGCCAGGCATTTTAAAACATTCCCAGCCTTGAACATTTCTGGCTGGCTTGCCCTCCCGTCCTCCCCTCCCCCTTCATTTCTCATCGCCCCAGAGCCCTACTGGCTTGGACAACCCAAGCATCCGCCTCAAGCAGACAGGCCAGGAGTTCCCTGCCAGATGTCAGTTCTCTTGAAAACCAAACCATAAAGGGAATAAGCTCAGAGAGACAAGGAGCGTTTGTTTCCTCAGGCCTGGTTTCTGTCAAATTGCTGGTTCCATGGCCAATGCTTGCCAGCTTGACTGTGAGAGGGGACAGTGGAAAACTTTGAGGGAGAGCTAGGTGGTTTCCTTGGGTTTCTCTACTTATTGTACCTGGCCTATTTGGCCATCATCCCCTCCCCACACACACACTGAGAGTGACTGGGTTGATGGCCCCCATTGCTTTCTTTTGGCAGATGTGGAAGCGCCGCTCTGACCCAGTTCTCCACATTGACCTGCGAAGGTGGGCTGACCTCATGCTGGTGGCTCCCCTTGATGCCAACACTCTGGGGAAGGTGGCCAGTGGCATCTGTGACAACTTACTTGTGAGTGACTCCCAGTGTCTTTCCTCCCCAGCCTTGCTCCCAGTTTGCTGAGTGGCAGATCTCACTACAGAAGTAAATCTGTTATTATTGGGTGCAGGTCTGTTGAGCAGCCCCTGTCCTGGGCCTTTAGCACAGAGGCTGCAGGGCTGGGTCCAATGGATCGTCTGACTTTGCCAGTGCTATCTGGGGCTGTCCACCTCTCTCCTGCCCTCAGTGGTCAGCCCCTGCTCTCCCATCTTCCCTCACCATAGGCTGCCCTCTGCATGCACCTCCATTGATTTCCATCTGTTCTGCCTTCCCCCCAGAGTCTAGAAACACTGTATACTCTACTAAGAGTGTCTGCTTCCTCATGCATCTCACATGCTTATTTCTCTAGAGTCATTTGAGCCCCAAATCTAAAACCCAATTCTCACGTCTATCAGAGAAAGCTTGGAAAGAAACGGGAAAAAAAGGTGAGAAGCGATTGCCAGGTTGGCTTATGCCGTGAGACTTCTTGGGAGCCGCTCCCTTAGAAAGCATCTGCCTTTCTTTACGTGACCATCCTGAGGTCTTATGGTCAACTCCTCCCTCCATTTCTTGACCTTTCACCTCCCATGTTCTGGGAGCTTATACTGAGGACACAGGGAGCACTTGGCCTGAGAAAGACTTGTGATCACCCATGTAGGCAGGAGGAGTATTCCATGTTGACTGCTATAGTCTTAAAAGACCCCATTAGTTTGTGGAGTGTGCTTGGTGTTGGGCATTAAGTAGGCATTTACTAATACTTCTTGTATGTGGTGGGAAGTAATTTTTCATAAGTATTTTTGTTTGAATTTATTTGTGTGTGTGTGAGTGTGTGAGAGAGAATGCAGACTTCTCTCAAACTTTTGGCAGTCCTCTGCCTCTGCCTTCTGAATACTGGGATTACAGGTGTGTATTACTACACTCAGCTTGTTTTTAGAGTTGAAAAATGGTGAAGAAGGGAATATTGGAGATACATCAGGAGCTTTAGAAGGTCACATATGAAATTAATGTCCTTTCATCTGGGCCTGGTGGCATAAGCCTGTGTAGTCCTGGCAGTTTGAGAGGCTGAGGCAGGAAGATCAAAAATTCAAGGCCTGTGTGGGCTTCAGAACAACTCTTTAAGTAGAAAGTGAAAAGAGGGCTGGAGACGTACGTAGCTCAGTGGCAGAATGCTTGTGTATTGAGTGTGAAACCTCACATTTACTCAGCCCCTGTCTGCTTATTAGGAGCTTTCCAGCTCCTCTTCCGGGAAACTGCTGGTGACTTAAGAACATAGGATGGGAGGAACACCACGCTGATGCTGTGGCCGGGAGCATTTTGGGTAGACAGAGAAGCAGAGCCTGGTACAGTAGGTCCTTGCTGCCCAGAAGGACTGGGCAGCAGGGCACTCAAACAGGTGAGGGAGTTGCTTGGCCATGTACCCCAAATCCCTGGGCTTTCATTGGCAGGTTATCAGCAGCTGATGTGGTAGAACACATCAACCTCAGAGCTGAACCCCAGCCAGCTCTCTTAGGGCTCTTCCTACCCTCTGAAAACTCAGGTCTCCCCTCCTTTTTGTTGTTGTTAGCATTATTGTTACTATATGCCAAGCTTTTTTTTTTTTTTTTTCAAATATAGCCGGTAGCTGAGCTGGAGAGATGATTCAGTGGTTAAGAGAACTAGATGCTCTTCCAGAGGATCCAGGTTTGATTCCCAGCACCCACATGGTGATTCACAACTGTAACAATCTGAGACCCTTCTTTTGGCCTTCATGGTCAGCAGGCACACGTGTAATGTACAAACATACATGCAAGTCAAAATACCCACACACATATAAAACAAATATAATCTCACATAGCCCACTGGCCTTGAAATCCTAATCATCTTTGCTTTCCCTTCCTAAGTGAGGGCCTGGCTCCTACTCCCTATCTTTGAGGTTCTCTTCTTCAGGATTGGCTGAACAGTGGAGCATGTCCCCAAACTAACCAATGTCCTCAAACAGCTTCACCTGAACACAGATGTTTCAGACAATGTCTGGTGTTACGGTTTGAACTGTAAGCATCCTTGGTTGTGGGGCTACCTTCTGCTCAGTGGGTATCTTCTTAGAATCCTGAAAGGAAGCTCAGCCTACTTCCTCTTTCCAAATCGCCTGTCTCCATTGGAAAGGTGCTGGAGAGCAGCTTCCTGTTAACGTCATTCTGCAGTCCTGCTCTCCAGGCCCTCAGCCTCTCTCTCTCTCTCTGTCTCTCTGTCTGTCTCTGTCTCTGTCTCTGTCTCTCTCTCTCTCTCTCTCTCTGCTCTGGCCTCTCTTTCTAAACTGTCAGATCCAGAAAGAGGAGGTGATTCCCCAGGCTTGACAGTCTGGCTCAGTGCAAGTCTCTTGACTAGGATCCAGCCTTCTGCCCTGCCTGAACAGGTTCCCAGGGGCAAGGCTGAGGCACTGAGTGCGGTGCCAGCCACGGCTGTGGGAACCAGTGTCCTCCTCTCCCTTCATACGCTAGTTGCTTTAGAGGAGCTGTGGTTTGTCCAGGACGCGCTGAGCTCCCTGTCAGACACTGGGGAAGCAGTCCTGTCAGAGGAGGTCAGGGTTCTGGCTGTGGGTGGTGCGCTCTACTTTGAGAGTGCTTAGAACCCAGCCCAGTCCCATCCCTACCCTGACACCATCAAGGGCCTCCTCTGGGTTTACAGAAGCTGCATGTGGCACAGAGCCAAGAGGAAGTGTGGATGGAATTGTCCACTCATAGCCAGGTTGTCGTATTGAGAGCAGTTGGTGGGAAACCAACTCTGGTGTCTGGGATGACGCAAGCAACCAGATTCTGAGGCTAATTTTTTTTTTTTTTTTTTTTTTTTGTCCCAGGAGAGGGTAACAGCACTGAGGGACAGGCACTGGCTCTGGTCTGTATATTGCATTGTTCTCTGCTCCCTCCTTCTTTCCCCAAAGGACTTTATTTCTGGGGAGGGGTGTCACAACTACTGTCTCCCCAGGAGCTTTCAGGAGAAGGTGCCTGATGTAGTGGGAGCACAGGAGCTATTTCTTTGGGAGGTGGTCCCTGACCTCCTGAGCCTGTGCCTTTGTTGTAGAGCCGAAACTTAGCACTAGGCCCTCAACTAAGAACTTTGAAAGCTTTCACACTTCCGCTAGGATCTGGGGTACCCACCTCTAATTCCACCACCTAGGAAAACAGGAGACCAAGAGTTCAAGGTCGTCTGTTACATAGCCAGTTCAGAGGCCAACCTGAACTACGCGAGGCTCTGCCTCAAAACATCACTGCCAATACTGCATAGCCATCAAAAGCATTCACATTCTGTTTTAGCTTTATATTTATTTATTTAGACAGGGTTTCTCTAGCCTTTCTGGCCTGGAACTTGCTGTATAGACCAGGCTGGCTTCAAACTCAGAGGGATCAGCGTGCCTCTGTCTCCCTAGAGCTAGGATTAAAGGAGTGTGTCACCATGCTCAGCTTCCTTCCTTCTTTCCTCCCTCCCTCTCTCCTTCCCTCCTTCCCTTCCTCCCAAAAAGGGTTTCTTTGTGTAACCCTGGCTGTCCTGGAACCCACTCTGCAGATCAGACTGGCCTGGAACACAGATATCCGCCTGTCTCTGCCTCCAAGTGCTGGGATTAAAGGTGTGCGCCACCACTGCCTGGCAGCTCTTTCTTAAAAAGAAAAAAAAAAGACAGACAGACAGACAGGGTCCTGGTATATATTCCAGGCTTCAGGCTGTCCCTGAACTTGAGATTCTCTTGCCTCAGCCTGCAGAGGGCTGGGAGTATAAACATATGCCCCCATACCCAGCATTCAACCATAGTTTGATTTCAAGCTTGTATGACTTCAAAGTTCACAACCGAAAGACGCTGAGTTAAATAGGGAGGGAGGGTGGGGGGGGGGAGATAGAGAAGGAGGGAAGAAGAGAGGGAGGGAAGGGGGAAAGACAGGGAGGGAGGATCTTAATTAAGCCCTTTTACAACTTGTCTCCTGTGTGACCTTGGTGTGGTCTAGCTTTGGTAAGTGGGGAGACTGCCCAGTCCAATGAGTTCTTGCGCCAGATCTTGTTTGTACCTAAATGGGCAACTGTTTATCAGTCAGGGAGTTGCAGCTTGCTCATCTGTGAACAGGGACAGGACTTTCCTTATAGGGTTACAGAAAGGATTCTTGAGATATTGGGTGAGAAAAGGTACCACATGTTGGATGTTTTCATTCTCAGGGTTTATTTGACCTAGAAGTAGAGCTGTTGTTGAGGAGAGCACGAACAATCTGGTTCCTGGCCTTCCTGTGAATAGTGAAGCTAGCCTCCTGCCCCTAGGATTGCTTCCCAGCCCTGCAGTTGTGAGCTTGGGTAAAGGCTTAGACTGGTGGGCAAGGAGATTACATACAGAGTGGAGATCTGTTGGAGGTATCGGGGGCATTGTGGGTGCTGACTGAGTATCTCCTGTGTCCAGGACTATGCCAGAGCCTGAAGGGAGATGATGTGGACTAAAGAGACAGCCCCTCCCTGCAAAGGATGCAAGATCAGATCTGTGTAGGTGTGTGACACCCAGCCATCCCTAGTCAACAGCTGTTTTGCTGACTGAGGCTGGAGGACAGTAGGGGACTCGGGTACTGAGGAAGGGTGTTAGGCAGAGCATTCCCCTCTTCTTCACAGACCTGTGTCATCCGGGCCTGGGACCTCACCAAGCCTCTACTCTTCTGCCCCGCCATGAACACCGCCATGTGGGAGCACCCTCTCACCGCACAGCAGGTGGGCATGCTCAAGGCCTTCGGCTATGTGGAGATTCCCTGTGTGAACAAGAAGCTGGTGTGTGGAGACCAAGGTGGGTTTCTTGCCATACTCAGCCCAGAGCTATAGAAGGGGCCCTACTTTGGGGCCACCTTTAGGTTCTATGGTTCAGTGGTTCTCTGGCCCTTGTGACCTTGGATAGAACCATTTTTTGAGCTCAGCTCTCATCTGGCAATGGGAAGAGTGCTAATTCTTGTTTCTCAGGTTCATTAGACTGGAGGAGACAGATGTGTGGAGTGTTGGTAGAGTCCCTCATAGTAGAACAGCACTGCTGTTGGAGTGACCCCAGGGCCTGTCCTGGGATAACTGGGAAGCGGTATGGTGGATCTAGCTCACAGAGCTGGGCTTGGGCTTCCCAGGCCTAGGATGTGGGTGAAGTGCACAGGGGAGATCTGAGTGGCAGCCACAGGCACAGATGAACTTTGCTTCCAGGTCTAGGAGCCATGGCCGAGGTGGAGACCATTGTGGGGAAAGTGAAAGAAGTACTCTTCCAGCGCGGGGGCATCCAGCAGAATTGAACTGGGGTTTCTGTCCTGGTGTCCGTGCACCCAGTGAATTCAGCCTGAGCTGCTGAAGAGGGAAATCACCACAGCATGAAGAGCCTGTGTTCACGAGGAGGGGCTGGTATGCACCTTCTCAGAGCTTCCTGGGGACCGACCTTCTCCAAGTTACACAGAACTACAGACCCAGGTCCTACCTTCTTCCAACCAGGAAATACCTGCTTTCCTGAGGCCCTCCCTTGTCTTCCTGGGATAGGCCCCGAAAGCTGAAGCTGGGCAATCATGTTACTACTGGAAGAATAATCTAATGATTGAGGACCTCCTGCTTAGGCTGAGGCAGGATTGCCACAGCTTTGCAGTTGGCTTGGGCTACAGAGTGAGCCAGGCCCATGAGTGTGACAGCCTATTTCAAAACAAAAGCAACCAGAAGAAACACCATAGCTCAAGATCCCTGGCACAGCAGGCTCCTGATCAGGCCTTGGAAGCTTCCATTCTTTGGTGCCCCGTGTCACACAAAGTCAGGAAGTCTATGAGGTGGCAAGACTCTTCACATTTCCCACAGACTGTACTGGGAGTTGGGGCAGGGATGGTTCTGGGAAATAAAGTGACCTTAGGAGACTCTGTCCTTCTTTACATCCTGTCTGTGGCCTCAGAGGTCGACATGGCCAAGTGAGGACAGAGAAGGTTCTGGGTTCGCCAATGACTAACACTCCCACATCCCTATGCAAGGTCAGAGCTCCTGAAGCGCAGCTTGGGTTCAGGTGACCAGATGTGGACCAGCTGTGGGCCTTGACTGGTCCTCACTTTCCCATCCGTGTGGTAATTCTTTCACAGTGGAACAGTTGACAGGATCAAGTGAGGTGTATGTGAAAGGTACATTGTCTCATATACCCACAGGGGGTACATTGCATGGTTCCAAGCAGATTCCTGAAGCCGTGGTACAGAACACATATGATGTCTCCCTATACATATATAACCTGTGACAAATTCTAATCCATAAATTAGGCCCAGTAAGAGATTAGCAACAATAACAATATAGAACAGTTATTTACTTTGTTCTGTAATAAACTGTTTTCCATACTGAAAAAAAAAAGATTAAAAATGTAATTGGGGCTGGCAAGATGGCTCAGTTCATAAAGGTGCTTGCCACCAAGCTCATTACTTGAATTTGATCCCTGGGACTCACATGACGGAAAGTGAGACCAGCTTCTGAAAGTTGTCCTCTGGCCTCCGCTCTCACACTGTAGCACATGTACTATTTGCACATGCACACACACACAAAATAAGTATAACAAAAAATTTAAAATACTATTATAAAACCTGTGTGAACATGGCCTCTTAGCAACTTCAACATACAATTTTAAGATTGTATAAAGTCAAAAACTTAGACTTTGTTGTTGTTTTTAGACAGGGGTTCTCATTTTTCTTTGTAGCCCTGGTTGTCCTGGAACTCACTGTAGTAACACTGCAGTAGTTGATCTGGTAGCACAGCTGTGGTAGCTGGCTGGCAGTCGTACACACGGACATGCTGGACTAAATGAATCCTGTCTGGTTGGGATGGCACAGGAGGTGTAATTGTCAGATAAATGAGCACTGAAACTGTGTGCATATCTCAGAAGTGCACACACGTGACAGGAACTTCCCTAATGGTTGCTGAAATAGTCCATCTCATGTTTGGGGAAGTAAGACCCAAAGCCTCAACTGGCATGGCCCTTTATGAAGGTGACAGGTCAGCCATCAGCAGGGTCGCAGCCTTTCCTGAATTCCACACCCCTCCCTTGCCTCCTGCTCTACATGTTGGCCCTCTGGTTCCCATCCTTTTAACTTGTTGCATTTGCCTGGAGATGCCTGCTCCCATTCTAGTACACATGGCCTGGAGGACTAGTCTCAAGAGAGACATTGGCCTAGAAACCTCTTGCTGTCTCACTTTTGACCTAGTAACTCTGATGTGGCTGTTGTGAGGCCCTCTGTGTATTTGCAGCTGGAGTGGGGACTGCTTTCTTCTCTGGCTCCTAGACTAAGCAGTGTAGGCATCCCGTGGATGTCCTGAAAGTATTGTGGGTACAAGTGGTGATGTACCAGAATCATGGTCTCCAGCAACCTCCAAGAGCCCTTCTATCTTGAATTAATAAGTGACCTTTTGGGATATGTAGTAAGGAGGCCGCTTGTTTGGTTCCCGGCCACCCAGCTAACTTAGACCTGAAATCACACAGAAACTATAGTTAAAACACTGCTTGTCCCATTAGCTCTAGCTTCTTATTGGCTAACTCTTACATACTAATTTAACCCATTTCTCTTAATCTGTGCATTACCACGAGGTCGTGGCCTACCAGCAAAGTTTCAGCACGTCTATCTCTGGCGCCTCCATAGTGTCTTACTGACTCTACCCTTCTTTCTCTTTAGTTTTCCCTGCCTAGCTCTGTTCCTTTGCCCTATCACAGACCAAGACAGTTTCTTTATTCATTAACCAATAAAAGCAACACATAGAAGGAACTCCCACACCAAGGATAAAATTGTCTTAGGGCAGTAAAGAAAATGTAACCTAAATCGTAGGATTAAGAATGGCTCTCTGGGGGCTGGAGAGATGGCTCAGTGGTTAAGAGCATCGCCTGCTCTTCCAAAGGTCCTGAGTTCAATTCCCAGCAACCACATGGTGGCTCACAACCATCTGTAATGAGGTCTGGTGCCCTCTTCTGGCCTGGAGACATACACACAAACAGAATATTGTATACATAATAAATAAATATTTAAAAAAAAAAAGAATGGCTCTCTGATCATGCCAATGCATTGGACAAATGGAAAGTCCAAGTTCACACTTGCATAAGAATAAAGGCTTTTTGCTTTTCCATATGAGAGAAAAAATAATGAATTTTAGGGTCAACAGGATGGCTCAGTGGGTAAAAGGTGCCTACCACTATACCTGATAACCCGAGTTCGATACCTGGGACCCACAGGGTGGAAGGAGAGAACCAGTTTCGAGGAGTTGCCCTCTGACTTCCACTTGGGCATACTGACATGCAAGCCCACATACATACAAAAAAAAAACCCAAGGAAATATTAAAAAAGAAAAACCAACTTCACCATCCCGGGATGTAGTAGTGGAAGAGAGCTTGCTGCCCAGCGTGTGCATGGCCCCTGATGGTAAACAAAACCGGAGGACTTCTCAACATCAAGCTTGAGGCCTGTCTAGGCTACAGTGTGTGCACCATGCCAGCCTCCCCCTACCCCCAAAAGCCATGTGACAGGTTTCAGAATCGTAATGTGGGGAGCAAAGCCTACCACACTAAATTCCAAGAGATCTTTATGTAGTTTCCAACTTCCTCCCTCCTCTCGCCTCACCCTTTATTTACCTCAGAACCCTGCTCATGGATGATAAGACCAATTTTAAGAGAAACTCCTCTCTGCTCCATGCTTGCTGTAAGTTTCTGTGCTGGGCACTTTAGGGAAAGTAGTTCCTAGAGGTGGCCTCTGGTTACCTCTAGTGTAGGGTGTGTAGGAGACAGCTAAGTGACAAATGCCTTTCTAACAGAAGTGGCCACAGATGGGCTGGATCTTAGGGTTTCTATTGCTGTGATAAACACAACCAAACACAGTGTGGCAAGGGGAAGGTTTAACTTGGTTTATAGTCAATCACTGAAGGAGGTCGAAGCAGAAACTCAGGCAGGAATCTGGAGGCCAGAACTGAAGCCTAAGAAAGCTGCTCACTGGCTTCCTCCTGGCTTGCTCAACCTGCTTTGTTAGGGCACCACCCCCAGTAAGCTGGGCCCTTCTACATCAATCGTCAGTCAAGATGCACTAAAGATTCATCACAGGCCAATAGGGAGGGTCAGTTTCTCAGGGCCCCTCTTCCCAAATGATTCTAGGTTTGTGTCAAGTTGACATAAAAGTAGCCAGCACAAACTTCAAAATGCTATGGGAGAACCAGGCATGGTGGCACATGCCTCTAATACCAGGACTCAGGAGGCAGAGGTAGACAGATCCTTTAAGTTCAAGGCCAGCCTGGTCTATGGAGCAAGTTCCAGGCCAGCCAGGGCTATACAGTAAGACCCTGTCTCAAATAACAATGATGGGAGGCCAGGGACGGTGACTCATGCCATCAATCCCAGCTCTCCCGAGGCACAGGCAGGCATATGGCAGTTCTGGTCCAGCCAGAGCTACAGAAACCAAACAAAAGCCGAGAGCAGAGAACTTCAAAGCACCTTGTCCTGTCACTCTGAAAGCCATGACTCATCCTTGGCTAAAGGGAAAAGCTGTCCCCGTGGACAGGAGCCAGCTAGAGGTCCCAGCCGTGGTTGGCTACTCCTACTCTGACGCAGGGCAGCCCTACATGTCTGAGTCAACTAGGAAAGGCAGAACATGTATTGGACGGGGTCCTGTAGTAAGCGCTGCGGGTTGCATTCCTACTGCCCTGCTCCCAGCCGCCTGGCTAGCTTATACCCCGAAATAACAACACACAAACTGTATTCATTTAAACACTGCCTGGCCCATTTCTATTAATGTGTGTAGCACTGAGGTGTGCTTACCGGGAAGATTCCAGCCTACGTCCATCCTGGGTCAGAGCTTCATCGCATCTGCCCGGGAGAGGGGAGCATGGCATCTGAGCTCACTTCCTCTTCCTCCCAGCATTCTGTTCTGTTTACTCCACCCACCTATGTTCTAACCCATCAGGGCCAAGCAGTTTCTTTATTAATTAACCAATGACCTTCCTCCATCAGGGTCCTGTGGTGGTTGTGACAAGGACAGCTCCTACCACTGAGGCTCTGTCGACTTTTTGAAATCAACTTGGGTAGAAATGTTGTCAGGAATTTTCTCGTCTCCTAATATGTTAGAATTCTGCAAGTGCGGCAGAACAAAACATTTGGGTTTGAAATATGCGATTTTGCTTGGGAGCCTCCCTTGCATCTTTCTCGGCTGCTGTAGCTGCTGCTGGTCAAGAGGCTGAAGCCTCTATGCTGGGCTGCTCCACACAACTCACCAGGCTCTTAAGCTGCTGACTCACTGCCTCGAGGTTGGGGTGAAGCTGCTTGGACTGGAAGACATTTGTGTCCTGGCTGCCTCCTCCATGTGCTGCCCCATCTAGGTCACCTTTGCAATGCCTTCTCTGGCCCACTTGGGCTGGTTCTTGTGTCCCCTATTTATTACAACACAGAATTGTAATTGTCTATTTTTTTTCTGTTTTTGTTTTTGTTTTCAAGACAGGGTTTCTCTGTGTAGCCCTGGCTGTCCTGGAACTCACTTTGTAGACCAGGCTGGCCTTGAACTCATAGAGATCTGTTGGTGGAAGGCTGCTTTTTTGTTCCCGGCTGCTCAGCCCCAAAATAACCACACAGAAACTATATTAATTGCAATACTATTTTGCCAATAGCTTAAGTGTATTGCTAACTAGCTCTTATATCTTTGGTTAACTCATTTCTATTAATATGTGTATTGTCACATGGCTGTAGCTTACTGGAAAAGTTCCAGCGTGTCTGTCTCTGGCGGTGGCTACATAGCTTCTCCCTTACTCTGCCTACTTTCTCCCAGCATTCAGTTTAGTTTTCCTACCTAGCTCTATTCTACCCTATCACAGGCCAAAGCAGTTTCTTTATTCATTAACCAATAAAAGCAATGCATATA